TAGTTTTAGGAAGTTAGTACCTGGTATTGGAAAGGGAGAGGAAATCGGCACAGAGACTTAGTTCGATTCCCTCTTCCCTCCTCCTTGTATCCTCCATATCTTCTTTCTATAAAATGGGCATCCCGGTCCCCCTCACCTCGCAAACGGTGGACGAGCTTCGATGCCCTGGCCCGCGTCACAAGCGTCGGGCGGTGCGGGCCGTCCAAGCCCGGGAGCCCGCCCCTCCCGTCCGCGACTACGTGGGGCGGCGGAACGCACGCGGGGGCGGCGCGCGGCCCGCCCGAGCCTCTGCCCGCGGGGGACGCCGGCGGAAGTGGGGGCGCCGGCACGCAGACTGGTGAGTTCGGGGGTTGGTGGGAGCAGAGCACCTTCCCCCTCCCCCCGTCCTGGCCCCGGACGCCCACCTGCGGGCAGGCCGGGAGTGGCGGGCAGAGGCGGGTCCGAGCGGCCGCACCGCGGGGTCGGGTCGGGACGCACGGGCGGGGCTGGTCCCGCGCCGCCGCCGGGGCGCGGTGGGGAGCAGGGGGCGCGGGGGTGATAGCTCCGATGCCGGTAACAGGAGTAACAGCAGCAGCCAGACCCCCACCGTTCCCGGGGCGGACTCGCAGGCCTCCTCCGAGCTGGGAGACGGGAAGCAGGTTCAGCCCAGGGCGGAGTGGGGAGTGGACGCCCAGGGGCCCGGAGGACCTACTTAGTATAAGAATAGGAGAGCGATGGGTGGTCAGGGAGGAATTGAAAGAATACTGACCGGCCCTGGGGGTGGAGGGGAGGGAGGGTCTCTCCCCTTTGAACTAATACGCATCCAGGGGGGCAGCCCATGGGGTGTGTGGACGGACGGGTCACCTGCGTTAACTATGTCTGGGGGCCTCGTGGTTAAGCTGGCACCTCAGCTGGTTCCCTCCCCTGGCAGTGGAGGACTTGGCTAAACGTTAGTCCGAAGATCTGACCCATTGCCATGGCCTCAGTGAATGCTGAGGCCCCAGGAGGGAGGTCCGTGAGTCTCCGGCCCCTGCCATTGACCTCAGTGATGGGATCTGGAGTCAAACGAATTCGTTTGTCAAGCAGTGGGGGATGGGTGTGGACGTGGTTCCTGGAACCTTCCAGCAGGAAATCCTTGGCCGGAGACCAGAAGGATAAAGGACGATGATCTGGTCACCTGGGAGAATGGATTCATGCCTGCTTTTGTCTTCTTGGGCACGCCCTTTGTGACCTTTCTCCAACCAGTTTCTTCTCGTTTTTCCTCTCCGTATTATGACTTTATTTTCCTTTTTTGTTTTTTTAAAAATATGTTTTTATTGATTTTTAGAGAAAGAGGAAGGAGAGGGATAGAGAGATAGAAACATCAATGAGAGAGAAACATCACTGATCCCCCATAGGGGATCGAGCCTGCAGCCTGGGCATGTGCCTGACCAGGAATCAAACCAGTGACCTCTTGGTTGCTGGGTCGATGCTCAGCCAGCTGGGCTGTTTCCCTTTTTTTTAAAATGTAGAGTTAAAGTCATCCAACATACAGATGTAGCTATGGCTCCTTACATATTTTGTTCTATCTAAAGTTAGGTATTTCAGCTCTGAGATGAAGAAAATGATCCCATTAAAATGACATTTCTGAAAAATGGGTTTCATATTTACATGACGGGAAATAAACTCCCCCTCCCCCCCCCGCCCCCCCCAAAAAGAAACAAGAAAACAACAACAAAAAAACCTCTAGTCCAGAGCTACCGGCAGACAGTTCACAACCATGGCTAACACATGGTGCCCATGCAGAGAGAGGGCCCTGAGACAAGCAATGTTGTTAAACTTTTTAAACCAGCAACTTCTTTATTGTTCAGAATAAGAATCCTGAAGAAAAGCATTTTCCTTTTAGCCCAAGCGGCTATGAATAGTAAAAACCAACTGATTTGAAGTCCCTGGAATGCATGCAACTTAGACTTTCCTAACGCACACAGCCAGCTCCCAGGCTCTGAGTCTGCCTTTTAGGAAGACTGGTGCTCGCTGGGTCACCGGCTGTTTATCGTTCCTCGGGGGCTTTGAGTGGCTGCTGCTTTGGCGTCTGGCTGCTGGGTTTCAGTTTTGGGATCTTCTCCATTTCCAGCACTTTTCTCACTCTTGTCTGCTGCCACGACGGCCCCCAGGATTTCCATGATTTCCGGCGGTGGCTGATCACTTCCCTGCAGCTGGGCTGGAGTTCATAAACCTGGACTTGACCTGCGACATCTGTTGCTTTCCGTTTTTTTCCAGGATGGTCTGAACCTTGCTAACACCATCTCCCCTGGCCTGAAGGACATCAGCTGGTCGTCCTTCAGGATCTACCCAATCCAGAGCCAGGAGCTCTTTGGTCCGTTATCAGGTATTTTTTGTCCGTCTTCGTACCTTCTCCTCTCAGCACACCTGGATGTTAGGGGGGTACTTCAGCCTCTCCTGGCTTTGGAGGTGTGGCTTCTGCCGAGGCAGGGCTGGGGGCTGCCCTCTCGTCCGCAGCCACATTCTTGGAGGACCATCAAATCAGTTTCTTCTCAGGTCACACCTGGGCTGCAAAACCTCCCGGGGCTCCCCTGTGCCGGCTGAAAAACTGCCTCCGCACAGGCCCAGCCACCAGGGGTTTTGCTCCCTTTCCTGCCACTCACTAGCTAGCACCCGGCAGATGATTTGCCATCTCCCAGCTCCGGTTTTCTTTTCAAAGAAATGGGGATTGCACTCATATAACCAAATCTGTTACGAGGCCCCCGCCCCCCACCTCCCCCCCCCCCCCCCATGGAGAGAACAGGGCCCTGCGCTGGCCCGCCCTGAATTTTTTTTATTTTTTCTGAATTTTGTTTTATCCAGGGATTTAATTTAGTGCAAGTCCTTGGCCACTTGCTTAATTTCCCATAAATCCTTTATTACGTAGGAATCCTGGAGACTAGGTATTTCTCTTAAACCACTCAAGTGTTAATCTAGGTTGGGGGATAGCCCTGGGGGCTGATGACCTATGACTAAGCTTGTAGTGCCCTGGTCAAATAGATTAGAAAAAAATAGATTAGAAAATGTCTATCCCCGTTAATCCCATTTACTGTGGTCTTCCAGACCAGGCAAAACCGGGGAGCCTTCCGTGGCTCTGCTTTTTCTCTCAATCCATCAGCAGATAGTGAGGGCTCTCAACTTTCAAAGCATACCCTAATGTGACCACTTCTCGGACCCCCACTGTTACCACCTCAGCCCAGGCACCATCATCATTCCCCCGGACCACTGTGGTGCCTTCCTCACTGGGCTCCCCGCTTCTGCTCTGTCCCCCACTGTCCATTTTCTGTGCCGCAGGCAGAGGGATCCTGTGAAGGTCCTGTCCCTCCTCTACGCAGAACCTCCATGGCTCCTGTCTCACCAGAGTACAGGCCCAAGTTCTCACCGGGGTCCTCCGGGCCCTGAACGTTTGCCTCTGCCCCCACCTCGGCCTCCACCTCTTCCGCGCTGGCCTCCTTGCTAAGCCTCAGAGTCACCTTCCTTGGTCTTTGTATTTGCTGTTCCCGCTGACTGGAAGGCTCTCTCCCATCTCCGCATGGCTTGATTCCCATTTCATTGAGGTCTGTGCTCACAGGTGACCTCATCGGGAGATCTCCCCTGGGTGCCCTGCTTTCTGGAAACCACCTCTTGCCCCCTAGGCTGAGCCAGGTGTTCCCTCGGGGCTCTCGCCGCCCTAGGGCCTCCTCATTCCAGCTCTGCCTGTTCTGGTCGTCGTTGTCTAGATTAGAGACAAGTGTGTCACCATGAGGGCCGGGCCGGGCTGTTCCAGGCACAGCTGTGTCCCCGCTACCACCCAGCATGGGCTGGGCACAGAGCAGGAACTGAGACAATGTGGACGGCGAATCTTTACATTCCCTAAATGAGTATTTACAGCCCCCCGCCCTGTGCCAGGCCCTAAGAGGGGCTGGGGATGGAGTTGTGAAGCAAAGCAATCGGATATGTCCCTTCTCTCAAAGACTGTGTTCTGTGGCGGAACAGACAGCACATAGGAAAGCAAATAAATACATTTGTCAGGAGGTGATGGGGCTAAGAAGAAAAGATAATGTGGGGTGAAAGGGCCGTTATTTTTCTCCTAGTGAAGGTGGTGTTTGCACAATGACCTGAATGAAGCGAGGGAGGAAGGTGAACCATGACTAGAAAAACATTATGCCTCCCAACTGGGACAGGGTTCTAGGCAGCAAGAACAGCATGTGCAAAGGGCCTGAGGCAGGAATGTGCTTGGCATGTTCAAGGACCAACAGTGAGCAAAGGGTGGAGCGGGGAGTGAGGAGGTCAGAGATGATGGCTCCTCCTATGTAGCCGCTATAAGAACTTCGGCTTTTGCTGTGGCTGAGGCAGGAGCAGGTAAGAGTTCTTAGTAGAGGAGGGATTGTGATGAGACGTAGTTCTGACAGGATCTCTCTGACAGCTGAGTGGGGAAAAGACTGAGGGGTGAGGTGGAGGCAGGGAGCCCAAAGGAAAGAAGACTGACTACAATAGTCCAGGTGGGAGATGCTGGTGGCTGGGATGAAGAGGAGGCAGAGTGGGGGAATGAGAAATTACCAGATTCTGGATTTGTGGGTTTTTTTGTTTTGTGGGGTTTTTTGTTTTGTTTTGTTAATCTTCATCTGAGGATTTTTTCTATTGATTTTTAAAGAGAGTGGAAGGGAGGGAGGGAGGGAAAGAGAGAGAGAGGGAGAAAGAGAGAGAGATTGGTTGCTTCCTGCACGTCTCCCACACACATCCTATCTGGGACCGGGAATTGAACCTGCAACCCAGGCACTTGCCCTTGATTGGAATAGATACAGTGATGGCGAACCTATGACACGCGTGTCAGAGGTGACACGCGAACTCATTTTTTTGGTTGATTTTTCTTTGTTAAATGGCATTTAAATATATAAAATAAATATCAAAAATAGAAGTCTTTGTTTTACTGTGGTTGCAAATATCAAAAAATTTCCATATGTGACACGGCACCAGAGTTAAGTTAGGGTTTTTCAAAATGCTGACACGCCGAGCTCAAAAGGTTCGCCATCACTGGGATAGAACATTCGACTCTTCAGGGCTCAGGTTGACACTCTAACCTCTGAGCCACACTGGCCAGGACCTGGATGCATTTTTGAAGTGGAGCTGACAAACTTTACTGATGGATTGATTGAATGTGGGTAGCAGAGAAATTGAGGAGTCCGGACACTGGGGTGTCCTTTATCTGTGTGATCACCAACTTCCCCCAGAGATTCTCCCTTCTCCCAACACTCTAGGACAGTGGTTCCCAACCTTCCTAATGCCGCGACCCTTTAATACAGTTCCTCTTGTTGTGGTGACCCCCAATTTCATTGTTACAAATTGAACATAATTAAAGCATAGTGATTAATCACAAAAACAATATGTAATTATATATGTGTTTTCCGATGGTTTTAGGTGACCCCTGTGACAGGGTCGTTCGACCCCCAAAGGGGCCGCGACCCCCAGGTTGAGAACCGCTGCTCTAGGAGGTCTTTTTTATGCCTCATTTCACAGATGAGGAACGGGAGCAGGGAGACTGCCCATAGAGTTGCAGTGACCTGCCCAGATCCCTGGTAGTGAATCTGGGCATAGGACCCACTGGTCTCCCCCAATTCACATCCTTTTTTTTTTTTTAAATATATTTTATTGATTTTTCTACAGAGAGGAAGGGAGAGGGATAGAGAGTTAGAAACATCGATCAGCTGCCTCCTGCACACCACCTACCGGGGATGTGCCCGCAACCAAGGTACATGCCCTTGACCGGAATCGAACCTGGGACCCTTCAGTCTGCAGGCTGACGCTCTATCCACTGAGCCAAACCAGTTAGGGCCCCAATTCACATCCTTATCCTCCCTCCCTGATGAAAAGCTGTGACTCCAACCCCTTATTGCAAGGCCAAGCTAAGAGCGGGTTTTACATTTTTAAGTGGTTGGAAAACGTTTTTAAAAATCATTTGTGGCCCTGACCGGTTTGGCTCCGTGGATAGAGCGTCAGCCTGCGGACTGAAAGGTCCCAGGTTCGATTCCGGCCAGGGGCATGTACCAGGAACTGGAGCAGGGAGACTGCGTACGAGGTGTGCAGGAGGCAGCTGCCCAGATCCCTGGTAGTGAATCTGGGCTTAGGACCCACTGGTCTCCCCCAATTCACATCCTTTTTTTTAAAAAAATATATTTTATTGATTTTTCTACAGAGAGGAAGGGAGAGGAATAGAGAGTTAGAAACATCGATCAGCTGCTTCCTGCACACCACCTACCGGGGATGTGCCCGCAACCAAGGTACATGCCCTTGACCGGAATCGAACCTGGGACCCTTCAGTCTGCAGGCTGACGCTCTATCCACCGAGCCAAACCAGTTAGGGGCCCAATTCACATCCTTATCCTCCCTCCCTGATGAAAAACTGTGACTCCAACCCCTTATTGCAAGGCCAAGCTAAGAGCGGGTTTTACATTTTTAAGTGGTTGGAAAATGTTTTTAAAAATCATTTGTGGTGTGTAAAATTATATAAAATTCAAAATTCAGTGTACCAGTAAGTAAGGTTTTATTGGAGCACTAGATGCCCGGTGCATAAATTTGTGCACCAATGGGGTCCCTCGGCCTGGCCTGTGGAATCAGGTGAAACCAGCTCTCTGACATCCCCCAAGGAGTCCCGGATTGCGAGAGGGGGCAGGCCAGGCCGAGGTACCCCACTGGTGCACGATCAGGGCCGGAGAGGGGGCCGGGGAGAGATGCAGGAGGCTCCAGGGCGTGTCTGGCCTGTCTTGCTCAGTCCCAATCAGCTGGACCCCAGCAGCAAGCTAACCTACCAGTAAGAGCGTCTGCCCCCTGGTGGTCAGTGCACGTCATAGCTAGTGGTTGAGCAACCTTAGCATATCATTAGCATATTATACTTTGGTTGAACAGACAACCAGACACTTAGCATATTAGGCTTTTATTATATAGGATAGCCATGTTCATTGTTTTTTTTTTTTTCTCAATATATTTTATTGATTTTTTATAGAGAGGAAGGGAGAGGGATAGAGAGTTAGAAACATCCATGAGAGAGAAACGTTGATCAGCTGCCTCCTGCACACCCCCTACTGGGGATGTGCCAGCAACCAAGGTACATGCCCTTGACTGGAATCGAACCTGGGACCCTTCAGTCCGCAGGCCGACGCTCTATCCACTGAGCCAAACCGGTTAGGGCCATTGTTTATGTTTTATTTATGGCTTTCCTGCTACTATGGCAGAGTTGAGTAGTGTGATGGAGAACCTATGACTCATGAAGCCCAAAATATTTACTATTGGGCCATTACAGAGGATATTACTGACTTCTGCTAATAAGGAATATATTGGGCTCCCAATGGGACTTGGCAGCTAGTTCCACAGGGGCCTGGGAAAGGGACAGAAAGGTTTGGGAGTGGGTGACTGTAAGGTTAGGAGAGGGAGTTCAGATTCCTAAGGGGGAATCTAACTTAAAAATATATATATATCCCTAGTCGATTTGGCTCAGTGGATAGAGCATCGGCCTGTGGACTGAAAGATCCCAGGTTCAATTCCGGTCAAGGGCACATGCCCAAATTTTGGGCTCAATTCCCAGTAAGGGCGTGCAGGAGGCAGCCAATCAATGTTTCTCTCTCCCTCCCTCTTCCTTCCTCTCTGAAATCAATAAAAACATTTAAAAAAAAATTGATGAGAGAGAATCATTGACTGGCTGCCTCCTGGATGGCTCCTACTGGGGATCGAATCCACAACCCAGGCATGTGCCCTTGACTGGAATCGAACCCGGGACCCTTTAGTCCACAGGCTGAAGTTTTTTCCACTGAGCC